CAGGAAAAACTGACTTAAACAGGAGGGGGAATTATTGAAGATGAACTCAGCCTGCCTCACAATTATGTCCAGGGTCACCTCTGAAAGAAATACAATTTCAATGACCTGGTAAAAACTCACCCCTAATAAGATCTGACATTCCTTTCTTTCTATCTCTAAAACTATAATCAACTAATACAAGGAGAACATCTAGGAGGATTCCAGCGCCAGTGTTCCGATGTTTCTAGTGTACAATTAAGGAAGAAAGAACCTAGCCCTGGCTGGTGTGCTAAATGGTTAGAGCAGTTGTCCATGCACTGAGGGGATGTGGGTTTGATTTTCAGTCAAGGGCATGATCTTGGATTGCAGGTTCTATCCCCGCCCTGGTCAGGAAGTGTGTGAGAGGCAACCAATTAATGTATCTCACATCAATGTTTCTCTCTCTCCCCATCCCTTCCACTCTCTAAAAATCATTGGGAAAAAATATCCTTGGGTGAGGGTAAACAAAAAAACAAAAAGGGAAGAGAGAACCTTAGTCCTAAACTTAGTCCTAAAGACTAAGTAAACTTAGTCCTAAAGAGCTGGTGTAGCTCTAAAAAAAAAAAAAAGAAATAATGTAATGACTACTGCCAGGCTCGGTCTACCATGCATGGGTTTCCTCTGTCGGTCCCTTGTAACTTAATGCAGAAAGATACATCAGCACACCCAGGAGCTCACCTCTCCTCACTCTGGTCTCACTTCTCACTCTAGGTTTGCCTATAGAATGACTGCCCATGCTCCATATGCTGGGAGAATGTTCTATCAAAATAGTGCTCTGTCATATTACATTACATTTTATTCAACTGAGCAGTGAGCAGACTATTTTTCTCACAAATCCTGTTGTGCACAAAACACCAAACAAAACAAAAAGACCTCTGAGCAGAAGGAAGACCTCCCCACCCCAAAACTGTAATCTGGATAGTTTTTCACATTCAAGTATCCTAGGTTTCTGCTAATTTCATTATTAGAGCAATGAGACTGTATGCAACAAATGGGACAACAGGTAGAAAAATGTTACGATTAAAACAATTCACATTCATGAATAAGAACGGTTGGCTGAGAGGAGAGAAAACGATTTCTCAAAGAAGATGAATTGTCACGAGTAGCAAAATGTCAGCACCAAACCATGGAGACACATGTTTAAAAATCTTCACAAGGTTTTAGTAAAGGAGTAGCTTATAATGAACTGCCCTCCAACAGCAACGGCAAAATTAAGATCTCTAGAAAAATAGTTTTAAACAATTAGTTGAAAATTCTGGAGAGCAACCAAACAAGCAAAAATTAGAATTTGACGCTTAAAGGGGATTTAATGGGGCAAGATATGAATCTTGAGAGTGCGATACTAAGTAGAGTAAATAAGATGGCAAAAGACAAGAACTGTATCCTTTCATTCATACGTGGAATATAAAACAAAAAAGCAAAAAATGAACCAAACAAAAAACTCATGCACACAGATAATATAATGGTGGACAAAGAGGGCAAACGAAGGTCAAATCCATAGTGACAGAAGGAAACTAGCCTTCAGGAGGTAAGACTCAATAGAGCATCCAGATGTTGTTTTATAAAGTTGTACATCTGAAACTTATATACTGTTATTCACCAATGTTACCCCAATAAATTTAATTTAAAAGTCCGCATTGATAGGCCATTTCCCAAGACTACTCCAGGCTCACGGGGTAGGATGAACAGACTTCAAACAGAAAGTTACCTCTTCATTGGCTTGATGTGTTAAATGGCTGCCGTGCTAACTGGAAAATGAGCAGAGAAATTCTGAAAGGATGGGCCCGCAGAGAAAAGAATCCCCAAACCCATTAACTCCTCAAATCTGTGGTCCTCCTGCACTGTGCATGTGCAAGGTGGCTCGGGGAGGTCCAGGAAATAGCAAGAGCTAGAACCCTGAACAAAATGAGTTCAGATTTTAGCTGTTTCCCACCTGAAACCCCACCTTTCCACTGAAACCCCAAACTGGCTCTATCTTATAAGTAAAGACCATCCCAGGACTATGGCATCTGCCAAAGAACTTAGAAAAAAATCCTATCTAATAAAGAGGGAATATGCTAATTGATCATCACTCTGTCACAAAGATGGTTGCACCACCAGCTGAGACCAAGTTCCCATAAGGAGCCTTAATGAGCAATCAGCAGGGACCTGAGGCTACGCCCTCCCCCACCCCTTGGGCTTGACAGGGGACCTCAGGTAGTGCCCCTCACCCAGCAGGATTTGACAGGGGGCCTCAAGGTGCACTTCTTGTCCTGGTGCTGTATTATGAGACCTCAGGCTACTCCCCTTGCCCCAGTGCCAGGCTGGGGAACCTCCGGCTGCACCCCCAGCAGGTGGGGCTTGACAGGGACCTAAGGTTGCATCCCCCACCCCAGCACTGGGCCAGGGGATCTGAGGCTGTACCTCCCTGCCTGGCTGGGCTTGACAGGGTACCTGAGGCCATGCCCCTCACCCCTTGGGGCTTGATAAGGGACCTCAAGGTGCACCTCAAGTGTTGGGGCGGGGGAACTCAGGCTGCACCCCTGCCCAACGGGGCTTCAGGAGGGACCTGAGGCTGTGCCTCCCCCTCCCAGTGCTGGGCCAGGGTACCTGAGGCTGCACCCACCCCTGACCTGGTGGGACTTGATAGGGGACCTCAGGCCATGCCCCCCACCCAGTGGGGCTTGACAGGGAATCTCAGGTTGTGTTCCCATCTGGCAGGGTTCGATGGAGAACCTCAAGGCACACCCCCTGCCCTGGTCTGGGCTGGGGGACCTCAGGCCATACCCTCCATACTGGCGCCAGGCCAGGGGACCTGAGGCTATGCCCCCTGCCTGGCAGGGATTAACAAGGGTAGGACTGGCTGGGACTGGATCTAGCCCAATGTGGGGGGTCCGGCCCGGTCTGGGTCTCACACGATTTTGAGGTGCATGTGGGTGGGCAGGAACTTGGCTCTGGGTCCCATGGTGAGCCCCAGACTCTGACAGGGAGGTTTTCATGTACATTTTACTAATTTTCTTTCATATCTGACACTTGTATTATAGAGAAAGGGAAAATAGCAATATTAAATTATTTCCTCTAATTAATCCCCTTTTAATGTGCATGAATTTTGTGCACCAGGTCGCTAGTTAAGAATAAAAATCTTAAAAGCCTTCACAATTTTAAAGTAATAGTAATACAGCTGTCTGCTAGAACATAAAGAATAAAGGAGAAAAACAACGTGGTCAACTCAATACATACAGAAAAAGCATTTGCCAAAATTTAAGTCGATTAATTAAAAAGAAAACCAGAGCCAGAAAGGAACTTCCCCAATTGTGATAAAGGACATCTACAAGATGCATAGAGCTGACGCCATACGTAATGGGAAGAGACTAAATTCCTTCCTCCCAAGGTTGGTTATGAGACCAGGAGAACTGTCCTGGAGACCTTCAAGCACAATAAGAAACAAAAAGGAAAAAAAAGCCACAAATAATAGAAAAGAAAAAGAAAAATGTCTTTCTTTATAGACAACATGATTGCTGACAGGGAAAATCCTAAAGTATCTATAAAAAAAATACAAAAAAACCTAGAAGTAACAGTTGAATTTATCAAGGTCACTGAATACAAAATCAAGATACAAAAATTTTTTTTTATTTCTATAGAGTGGTAATAAACAACTTCAAAATGAAATTTCCATCACTCTGAAAGTTCCCTTGTGATCTTTCCCAGTCAATCACCTGCTTCCAGAGCAATAAACAAAATATTTTGTTTTTTCATCAGTAGATAAGTTTTGTCTATTCTGGAAGTTCATATAAATGGTACTATATAGCACATTCTCTTGTGTGTCTGATACTTCCCCTCAGCATGATTTCTATGAGGCCCATTCAAGTTATTTTGAGTAGCAGTATCCTATTTCTTTATATTGCTGAGTATTCTTTCCATTATATAAGTGTAAAACAATTTGTTTTATCTTCTCTCCTCTTGATGGGCATTTGAGTTTTCCCTGGTTTGGGGTATTATGAATACTGTGTCTATAAACATTCTTGTACATGAATTATTGTGGACATACACTTACAACTCTACAGCAAAAATCTATCAGTGGAATTGTTGGATAATAGAGTACATATGTATCTAATGATATAAAAAAAACTCTCAAAAGGATTTTCAAAGTGGTTATGTTCTAAAACTCCCACCAGCAACGTAGGAGAGGTCCAATTATTCCATATTCTCACCAATACTAGGTATGGTCAATTTCTTTAATTTTAGGCATTCTGGTGAGTATAATACCTTTTGGTTTTAATTTGCATCTCCCTGATGTTAAACACGTTTTCATGTGCTCATTGGTGTTGGTGCAGGTTATACATTTGTGGCATTTATCAAAATTCAAACTCTTCACTTTTGATCTGTTCATTTTATTGTACAATAGAGACAAAAGTTATACACATATTTTGACTGTGGGGGTGGAGATGGGGTGTCGGCACCCCTTACACCCATGTTGTTCAAGGGTCAACTCTCTATAAATTTTGCCTCAATTAAAAAAAAGAAAAACTTGGGAGGGAGAGCTGGGGGCAGTACCAAGGGAAGAGAAACAGAATCACTTCAAGGACAGAACGAGGTGTAAGATTATAAGGAAAAGAACATAATGCCTACATTTTTAACACATTCAGGGGAAAAATGAATAGTCATTTTGAATACCCCAAAACAAAACTCTAAAGAACAATTTTAAAATATTCACAAACTAAAACAGACAAAAACAATTCAGCAAAGCTGATGAGAAATAAAAACAAAACTCAGGATGTTATATAAAACAGATGATTGCCAGACTCAGCAAATATATTTAACCAGGCAACTCAAACCAATAGACCATTAGATAACAAAATACCTGACAGCTTAACTTAAAACAGTGAGTTTTTTTTTAAATGTCTTTTACAAAATGCTGTTTTTATAATTTCCACGATAGAAATTTCTACTGAGTATGAACCAAGATACACATATACCAGAGACCATCCAAAACTTGTTCTTACCTTCAGTGAAACTCCCCGTTAGGGTTATTACTACGAACACTTTTCCTTCTGGCTCCAGATCCAACTAGAAAGAGAGAAAAAATTCTACATTATATTCTGATTTTAAAATACATTTTATGGGCCACAAATAGTCTTACAGGGAGGACTAAATTTGCAGAGCATGGCCATAAATAAGACCTAAGTCCTTCATTAAACAGCAGAGGGGCGAGAACCAAGTAAAAACACAAGAAACCATCTTGGTTGAAAATCAAACCTAAAAGTAACAGTTCTTTTGATGTTTCTCTGCTCTTGAATTTTAGTGTCTTCCATTTGGACTCGTCATGATATCAAGAGGCTCCCATAAAATTGGTCATGGTGGCCGAGATGTCCTTATCTTTTGCGTGCCATTAGAAGAGCAGCATTTTATTCAATTACATGGTAAGTATAGGGAATAGAGAAACAATGGCAACATGAAGGTTAATGAATAAATGTGACCTGGTCAACTGCTAACCTTTAATTTTTAGGAAGCAAAACGCATAAGGAGAGGATGCTATCTCTGTCTATATCTCTGTCTATACTGCTTCCACCTGAGTGGAGGCAATCTCCAGGAAGCACCATGGGAGGCAGCTCAGGAGCTTTGCATTCGCTGCTGCTCACAGGAGTATCAACGTGCCTTAAGGTCCTTGTCTAGGAGCTGAGATATCAAGACACGCATTCTGCAAAAGAGGCAGCATCAAGTCTTTTCAGTAGGTCCCATCCTCTGAACACTCTCCAGCTTCCCAAAGACCTTCACACCAGGATGGGGCAGTGCCCTCCACTCTAGCCAGGTAGGCAACCTCTCTCCTCTTCATGCCAGTGCTAACTTTCAACTAACTACCCATCATTGTTGGTAGGTAGTTGAAGGTTAGGCACTGCCCCAAGGTTTTTGGACCCAAATACATGAATTTATAATAGTCTTTAAATAAAAATCTGTCAGCCTGGGCCCACTTCTGCTCTTGGCCTTTCCTCTAAGAGAAGGAGAGAGAGGTGTAGAGAAGCTGAGTGTAGGTGTGGGTGGCCATTTCTGGTAGAACATGAACTTAAATAAGTGGCTGATCACATGGTATGGTAGAAAGAACCCTGAACTAGATCAGACTCTAGCCCGAAAGCCATAGCTGGCTCTGGACAAGGTCCTTCACCACCCAAGCTTCACCTTTGTCATCTGAATGTCCATGATGTCATTACTCAGCATTTCTGACATGGCCACTGTCAGGTTATCTCAAAGAGCATTAGCAGTACTATTCACTGCACTCATAGGTGACGAAGACTAGGGGGAAAGCATTGTCCTTACCCTAGCTCCTTGGTCAGCAAACCGCGGCTCGCGAGCCACATGTGGTTCTTTGGCCTTTTGAGTGAGGCTCTTCCACAAAATACCATATGCGGGCGCACACGTACAGTGCAATTGAAACTCAGTGGCCCATGCGCAGAAGTCGGTTTTCAGCCTGGGCGAGTCTATTTTGAAGAAGTGGCGCTAGAACACTCAAAGGGCCAAAGAGCCCCATGTGGCTCTCGAGCCGCAAATTGCCGACCACTACCCTAGTTCACCACCACACACTTTTAAACACCGCATCCTGATCACATACTTTGCAACATATAAGATGCCTATTTTGTGCTGATTCAGAAAACCTGATCTATTCAGCAGCCTATTTGTATAAAACCTCCCTTTCTCGGCATAAAGTCTGCCATCAACAAGGTTCCTACCCCTTAAATCACCCCCATGTTCAAAATGACTATTCGCATTACAACTACTGCTAACGTAACTATGCCCCCTGAACTACCTCCATACCTCATGCAGTTCCAAAAATAGAGCTCCCTGGAGAGATGACTAAACAGGATGTCAGGCTCTAATTGTCTCACTCTCTGCCTTGACTTGTTTCAAGGCAAAAATATGTTATTCTTAAAAGCCACTCCCTCATCTTCAATAGTAAAGGCCTGGCAGGGCTACACACTTTTGACCTCACAAGACAAACTGGTGCAGGCACAGAAGGAGCTGCTGCCAGCCCCCTGGACGAACAGACTGCCAGACTGCCAGAATCACTGTGATTCTCCTGCCCACAGCCGGCCCACAGACTCCCTCCAACACGCTGTCAGGGCTGGCAAGGAAGGCCGCCCCACCCCGACCAACCGTCAGGGCTGCGCTGACAGGCAGCAGGGCATTCCTCAGACCGGGGACCTTTCACAAGTAGAACAGGCTTGCGTCCACATTCCTCTTTTATTGTTGTTGCTGTTTGGTTGGTTATGTGTGTTTTTGGTGTCCACATCTTAACCCCTGCCACCATCATGGAGGAAGCAGCCAGACTTGAATGCCATCTTCAAGCCATCTACGATCTCTGCCCTTAGAACAGCGTTCATTCTACAAGCTGCAGGCTGAGACTCACCAGGGGGACATGAAACAATGGAGTGGGTTGCACACAGCAGGAATTTTTAAGTAGAATAAAATGGAACAGAAAATAGGAACCCATCAAGTAGTAAAATAATAATAATAAAGTGCTATGTCAAACTATTTGCAGTTTTGTATGTAAGTATAAGGGTGAACTGGGTTTCAATGTAAAAATGTATTCATTACTGTCACAGAGGAACAATTTGAAAAATGTGGCCTCAGAGGTTATCTGTTTCATCTACACAGTGTGGATGGGCTACTGGCATCTCTTCATAGTGGCTGTTTGGATACCCCCAGGACAGCCAACTCACTACCCCACAAATGGCGCCCTTCATTCCTTTATGTCATAGTTCTCTTATTGCAAAAGTGAAGCCACTAATAGTTTTCACTCATTGACCCCAGTTCTATCCTCAATGGTTGTAGGAGATCGTTTCTCCCCAGCTAGAACATCCATTCCGGTCAAGGGCCTGTAACTTCATTATAACTACCAACCCAGGTTGAGGCACATGCAGGAGGCAACCAGATGATGTGTCTCTCTCACATCAATGTTTCTCTCTCTCTCTCTCCCCAATCTCCCCCCTCCATGTCAGTCTAAAAATCAATGCAAATAATATCTTTGAGGATTTTAAAAATAAAAGTAAGACAAGTGGTAGGGAGGGGTACAAAAGGGGCATGTGGGTACCAAGACAATTACATGGAGAGGGAAAACTCTAACAAATGGTACTAGGACAACAGGACTTCCACATGCAAAAGAATGAAGGCAGGCTCCTACCTCATACCATATGTAAACATGAACTCAAAATGGATCACAGATCTAAGTAGAAAAGCTAAAAGTATAAAACTCTTAGAAGAAAACACAAGGACAAATTTTCCTGACCTTGGGTTAGGCAACGATGGCTTTTTAGATATGACATCAAAATTTCAAATGACAAAAATCTGACAAATTTGACTACATTACAATGTAAAACTTTTGTGGTATAAAGCAAACAAACAAAAAGTGCCTATACCTCACTGCCCAAATACCCTTTCCCAAGTGCCACTCTCATCAGCTTTTCCTATCAAGCCTTCAGTGGCTTCCCAGTGCCTTTAGAATAAACTCACTGCTCCACCTGGTTTTCTGGGCCACCCGGACACCCCTTTGGCTGCCTTCCCACTAATTTATCCAAACCTCATTTTCAAATGTCCATTCTATAAACTTGCTTGTCTTGTCGGGCCTGTCTCCTCACTATTTCACAGCCAAACCTTTGCTCATGCTATGGTCTCTGCTTGGAAAAACTCTCTCTTCACTTTGCCTGTTCGTTCATTCATTCAAACGTTTATTGAATTACTCCTAGGGTTGGGATCACTGCCAAGTGCTCAGGATTCCCTGGGGCTGCAGGTGGGACAGGTATCAGCTGCACCTGGCAAAGATGATGCAGCCACGAGAGCTGAAGGAAGGGGCTTTTACCAGGAAGATCTTTACATGCACATTGACCCCTCCAGTCTCAAAACCCCTCTCTTAGTTATTATCTCACCACTTCTCTATACCCTTGAACAACTGGATAGAATTTCATATCCTCATAAAATGTCATACATCTCATCACCTGCAATAAACTCAATCCAACGAGATCTGACAGCTTTCTATTCCCCAAAGGCCTTAGCAGAGGTCTTTGAACCAAGTAAACACTCAACTGAAGCCTATTGATTTGGTCTAATGAGTTGAGCTGGAAGGTGATTTGATCTCCTCAAACGCATCACCTATAAAATAGAGATTACAGTATCTTCTCACATAATAAGTATTATGTGACAGCACTGTATGAAATAAAGTGCAGCAAGATGGCCCCAAGGCCTACCAGGAGCATATGGACAGCACAGCCCATGGCCTAGGAATCACATGCTATGTTAGACCTGCCCAACAGTCTCCACCAACCCCTTCCTCCCCACATCACCCCCTTAGCCAGTGTTGGCTTTCTTCCCTTGGCATTACTTTGGGAAGAAACAAACAAACAAACAAGAAGTTGGGCAAAGCACTTATATCCCTGACTCAGTCTCTGTCCATGAAATTAGAGGGTTGCTTAAAAACCTTTCTGGCTCTGATGTTGCATGATTCTAAACAGGCTTGGGTAAAATCCTGTACATGAGACTCTATGGAAACCCTCATTTAATTAATTTCCCTTCGCAAAAGGCATTAGAATTGACTACAATTAGGAAAATTCTGGATGCTTAATATTCATTTCAGCCTGAGATAAGCAGGGGAATTTAGCATAGTAAGAGAAGAAAAAACAAACAAACACAAAATCCCTTATTTGGGCAAAGATTAACATTTCACCTGGACCCCATGGGCTTTGAGCCAGATGTCTATGATGGTGAGGTGGCTGGACTCTACAGCATTTCTATGCCTTGCCCTAGGGTTAAATCACAAAAGAACCTAAAATATGATGAAGCATTTCACAATTCTCTTCCAGCTGAAACCAACAGGCTTAAAAATGAGAGTTCAAATTCCTAGAGGGAAAATATTCTTATAAGTTATACCAATAATCAACAAGGAAGCACGGGCCTGGGTCCTTTAATAACAGAAACAACAGCTACTATGTCTTGAGCTCATCAACATGCAGGAACCCTGCCTGACTTACACTACTTCTCACCTTCGCCACCTGCAAGGTAAGTCTCACCGCCACCATTACACA